AATTTAACAGAATTAACGAGAATTCATGTAGCTGTTATTCGTGAAGTTTCGTTAATTCATCTTTTCACGCGTTTTTTTCCGTTAATTCTTCGTTAAATAGAAAAAATTTTTACATGGGGATCCCGCCAGGTGAGTTTTTTCAAACTCGAAACTAAAAGAATCGCATGGAATTCCCTAAAATTCTATCTTGTTTTTTGTTATATATACTTCTTTCCCACCACAATAACCAGTTAACAGACATTGTGAAAAGATTTTCTAAGAACTTTTCATTTTTCTTTCAAATTGAACATTATTAGCAAGTCCATTTTGTGTTTTATTGCATGTCGAGCACAACTGTTCGTTTGCATTACTTTGGCACAGTTCCCTAGCCATTTCTGTATACTAGTTTCGCGTATGTTGTTTGTAACATGGGAATATTATCTTATCTAGGTTGTCTCGATCAAATTATCTATGTTCCATTTCCGGACGAACAATCTTGTGAAGATATTCTCAAGATTGTGCTACAGAAGTGGTCAATAGCTAAAGATGTTGACTTGAAGTATTTAGCTAGAGTTTTGGATGGTATTAGCGGTGCTGATATCGTTGACTTTTGTCGGAGAGCCTGCAAGGCGTTTATTCGAGAATCAATCGAGAAGAAACAAAAAATGGAAGGTTCAAACTCGTGCCACGATTCAAACACTGTCGATCCAGTGGAATAAATTCGATGGGATCATTTCGAACAGGCAATGAAACTTCTGCCGTCTTTAGTAGCATCCGATAATGATATTCACAAGTATGAAGCATTCGCACGAATGTGGTAATCACCTTACGGCAACAATTCATCATTTTCCATGTTCAATGACACACAAACCATTAACAAAGGCGGTAAGAAACTTCGAACAATTAGTTTTCTCAACCCTGTCGTTGTCTGATTATTAGGTGATGTTAAGCAAGGACCAACTGTTTATACAGATGATGACGATCTGTACGCATAGGCAAAGCAACTAAAAAGAACATTGTCCGTTGCATTCATCTTCTTACACTACTAGTTCAAAGCAAGATACTTTTGAATATTGTACATAAATAAACAAGAAGATAAGGTTCATAGAGTTCTATTTTGAGATGCAATGGATAAACTGGAGATCAACATTGACATAATTTCGATTTCGTTGTTAGGTGCTCACAGTGCAAAGTTCCAGGACTTCTTTTTTTCCGCTCAATTATACATGTCTAGACACAGTTTTTGATGCTAATTACGAATCCGACCTTATTTTTCTATTTTGCCCAAACATTTGCCCAGAAAAATGCACTCTAATTTAAGAAAATAATCCCAGATCGTCAATAATACTTGAAGAAATGGTGACTTCTTACTCATTATCATTCGTTTTTTCGTCCGCAATGATGTTATCTTCGGATTCCTCACGCAAAATTGGATCTAGAAATATCATCTAAAGCTTTATCACATATTATGTGTCCATTCCGAAACTCTTCAGGATATATTTTCATTGTCGATGACTTATAGTGCCAGCTCTTGTAAATCTATCTAGTTTTTCTACCGTGTACTAAAAATTTCATCTATATCTCATTCAAACCGTCGTTTGACGAGCTAAAAAACTACGTATAGCTTTTTTAAAATATTTTTTCTCTTTGCTGAGAAAGCAGCCCAACATTAATAGAAACTGTTCATTTTTTAGGTTAGAGAATTTTTGAAAAACTATGGAATTTTCGTTTAAAAGTATTTTATATGGATTCGAATAGGATAAAAACGATGGAGAATTCAATTGACGTTGTTTCAGAATGTAAAACAATACTACTGAACATGTCTCAGTAGATGTGATTTTTAATAGCTTGTGAGCACTAATAAAAACAAAGTTTATTACGAATAACAGAAAAAGTAAAAGAAACATCACTGGTGCATTAAGGATCACTATGGTCAATATTGGCATTGGTAATTTTGGAAGAGCTTATAATATTTTCTTCGCATAATCCATTAAAAAATGAACTTAAAACTTCTCGATAGTCTTTTCCTTCGCCATATACTTGGATTGCGTGCCAGAAACGACGAAAAAGTTTCAGATGAACTCCTCTTTCAATAAAATTTTGTTTGGCTTCAGGCATCAGATGCATTAACATTTGAAAACTTTGATCCATGTTTTTCCTTGTGTAAGTCTTCGAATGACACCAGCGTTCCTCTATTGGATTGGCTTCGTAGTGGAACATTGGAATAAAAATGATTTTGACATTATAATCGGTACCCAGTTTCTCTAATTAACTAGGGTTGGCCTATTTACATTTACGCCAATTCATTAAATCCAAAAATAAAATTTGTTGTAGCAAAAATTTTATACTTAAAATAAGCTTAAATTTTTCGAATTAAGATTGAAAAGAAATGCAAATTTTCGTTATACAAAAAATTTATATTTATTTAAAATAAATTTAAATTAAATTGGAGTTTTCTGTTTTGTCTCTAAGAATAAAAGCAACATTTCATATTAAATGTATGCTATACCAAGTATATGTTTATGAATATTTTAGTATCATATGTTAATAATATAAATATAGCAATTCTTTTTTTTTAATCTTTTTGCTGAGATGATCTGATTATCAAGTGTAGCATAAGTTGCTTTCTTATTATTCATCTAGTTTCTTTTGAGCTGATTTATTTTGACAAAAGATGATACAATACAAATACACAAAACCACATGATTGAAAACATGTTTTTCTTGTTTATGGTTCAATTTGGATTTATATATCATATATCATAATCACGTAGTAGCATCGAAAAATGTAAAGTAGATGGCGATAGAGTTGAGTGGTTTTTTCCTTGAACATAACCAGCTATTGAAAATGCACTCGCACTGGCTACTGGAGTGATGGACATCATACAATAAATCCGAACTAAATTGGCTAATTTTGGTAGATATTGTTGGTTTTTTTTCGAAAAATGTTCGAATTCTGTTTCCTTATCGATCGATGATATATAATATCCAATTTCTTGTTGGATTGTAAACGAATAGGTGGTCGAATTAGATGATGAATATTGAGATGCAGAAGTTTCACAGTGAGCCAAATAAGATTCAATTCCTACTAATGGTTTTTTAACATCATTTGACACAGACGATGTAATCGAAGAGAAATCGGATGAATTGTTTAATTTTGATTTTGCGTTCTTGGATTTGAGAATAATCATTTTTTTTAATGTCTTAATGAATTGTTGGGTGTGGATGTTGTTATTTGTCGATCTTCCCATCATCAACACCCATACCGACACCTACATCAGCACACCTACACCCACACACCCCACACCCTATACCCACATCCACACATGAGTTGAGATTCATGTTGATAAAGTACCAATAGTAAGTGATATTAAAAATAATGCATGACTTCCTTCTACATTTTAGTTCTTTTCTTCCTGTCATTCTAAACAGATCGTTTAGTGAAACATTGGATACAGCTGCTTTGACGTCTTTCAACATCTCAAGATCTGTTTAATCGGTGGGAATGTCTTCATGAGCATATCATCTGTTAGGTTTTCCTGAGCTTGAAAGCGCTTTAAGGGTTTCGAAGGGTACATTTTTTTTAGAGAGTACGAGCATGCCACCAACAGCAGTAGCATCTACTTATAAAGTCAGAGAGTGAGCATGTATAAATGTTTATTATTAAACAGTAAAAATATAAATAGACTGAACAGATACATATGTGCGTATGTATATATGAAAGGAGAGAGTTTATTTGTGTATCACGTGTTTATTTTCACAGTTTAGCTGGTGCTCATACCGCCCGATCGCTTATCTTTTGTAGCTGATTGAGCAGGTAAGTGGGCACTGCTGCCACCAGGACCACTTGAACCAGTTCCAGAGCCCGCGCCTGGATCGCCACGCTGAGGTCCTTGAGGATTGGCCGTGCTCGAACCAGTCGGAGGTAGATCCATTGTACCACCACCTCCACTGTGATGCAGAGAAGAGTAAGTGTATTGATTCTTCTTTGATGTAAAAAATATGCTTACCTGCGATTAGCAGTCGTTTGTCCGACTGTAGCGCTCGAGAGTCCTCCTTAATTGCTTAACATCTAGTAGTGTAGTGTTTTCTTTTATCTTGAGAACGGATGAATCGCAGGAAGAGTATCCTCTATTAGTATATGCGAAGACAAGAGAGAAACAAAGAGAGAATTTCTAGAATATGGTGGAAGAATGAGTGGCAGTGAGTGCCATTCTATTTTCAGATGATGCAGAAGCAATCAAGCAGCAATAACATGTGTCTGAGTGCGCTGCTGTCCGCACTAGTCAAATGTATATTAACAGAAGAACATTGGGTATCCGATTATCTGTAAATAGAAGAAAAAAGAAGAATATGATGCTAGTCTAGTATTCAATGAATGAAAAATGGTTTCACGCATTTATGACATCATTGCTGTATATGAAGCAACACAGAAAAGAAAGAACATTCCCAATACTGCAAACAGTTTTACCTAGAGATGCACCAGTCCCAATCCTGACTGGTGAACTGGGTCGCAGTCGGACTGGGTACTCAGCCATTTGATCTTTAGTCTATCAGTCGAGTAGTACTTTCTTCTTTTCTAATATATTGTCATACAGGGATTCTTAAGCTATTGAAGTACTAATATAAACTATAACATTAAATCCATTGGCTAATCATATATTTCTATGTATCAATCGTTACAAATTAGAATACTATAAATAAATTTCATGTCTTCATTAAACTTTTGCGAGCTATCTATTCAGGCATAGTTTTCATTTATCATCGTCTGTTGAGCTATTTTCTTTGCTATACACTGTAAAAAAAAAAGATATTTTACGAAACCAAAAAAAGGATCTGGCCGCGGGTACGCCGTCCGAACCTTTCCTTGGTTTCGCAAAAAGAAGGTTTCGTATGAAACTTCTTCTTATTGAGTAGGAAAAATGGTTTCGTTCATAGGGTTCGGCACGAAACCTTTATCGGAAAAGTCTAAGAGATTTCGTACAAAAGGTTCCGTGCGAAACCTCTCCAAAAAAAATGATTTCGAAAAAGTTTCGCACAAATGGTTTCGTACGAATCTTCCAAGGTATTTACATCTAATGAGGTTGCCCCTGGAAACGACAATTCGCTTTTGAGTTGAGCCTCTCTCTGCATAAGGTAGTTATTGGTGAGATGAGAAAAATTCCCGAAGGATGCCTTCCATTAGCTCTTCTCTAGAAGATTATCCATATGTTACTGGAATTTTAGTTGAATGCTAACGAAGAATCCTATTTAGATGTGAATTTGATTTTGAGTTCGATCCATTAGTATCAGATAGATGTGAGACAAGTATGAAAACCTCCAAATGAACGAAGGTTCATAAGTCTTCTCTCGAAAGTTATAGCTATTTTCTTTGAATTTCAACCTATAGTGCCGTAGATATCAGTAAGTGGAATAAGATTATTTCTAACGGGTGTCCCAGAATAAATTATACCATTCGTATTTTGAGTATAACTCTTCTATTATCCATTAGATCGGGACATCTTTTTATACTAAAAGATAGCGCTTGAAATTCTCTACAAAAT